TAGCACTAACTTCTACATCTGGAAGTTTATGCTGATCACTTGGAAATTTTTCAGTCTGATTGATTTTTAAGCTTTACTCTTTGGAGATTATGATTTTGCAGATGTAGAGTGGTGCCAAAGATCTGGATTTGAGTGTGACATTTTGCCAAGTCCAGGAACCATTTATAAGTGAGATGTAATGAGGGCCTGGCCTCATTTTCCTGTGGAAATCGAGGACAGGGGAGGCACTCAGAAAATGTTACAGAGATAGTGTTGAGCAGACTTGTGAACAAATTCCTTCCTAATAGTAGGAAAGAATCAAAACTGACACCAGGCTTTCAATCCTGATGGTGGGATGCTGGTAATATCATCAGCAAAGTATTGGTGTTTAATGATTGTTGACAGAGATGACTGATTGTGCTTTTGATCGACAGAGAGTGAGATCTAGAAGGACATCCTGTATCTCTGTCCAGAAGAGGAGTCCAAGGTTGCTTGGAAGAGAGGACAGCACAGAGCTCAAGAGTTTAAAGTTGAGTCTTATTAAAGTGTATATGAGGACTTCCCTGGTGGTCCAGTGGTTAAGAATCCACCAATGCAATGCAGAGGTCATGGATTCAATCCCTGGTCCAGGAGGATCCCACATGCCACAGGACAGCTAAGCCCTTGCACTGCAACTGCTGGGCCTGTGATTTTTAGCCTGTGGTCCACAACAAAAGATGTCAATACAGTGAGAAGCCTATACACCACAACTAGAGAGTAGCTCCCACTCACCACAACTAAGGAAAGACCCAGCACAGCCATAAGATTATGCCAGCACAGCCGGCAGAGATTATGATGATATGAAAATATAAATACTACTCATCATTATAAGGGCTTCCCTTGTACCTCAGCCTGGTAAAGAATCTGCTGCAATGCAGGATACGCAGGTATGATCCCAGAGTTGGGAAGATCCCCTGGAGAAGGGAACAGCTACCCACTCCAGTTCTGGCTTAGAGAATTCCTTGGACTGTATAGTCCATAGGGTCACAAAGAGACAGACATGACTGAGTTACTTTCACTTTCTTTCTCTTTTATCATTATAAAAACTACCATTTATGTAATAGGATACTACTAAGAAATTTACATTCAATGTCTAATGTTATCCTTACAAAAACCTTGGAGATCCCCAATTTGTAGAAAAAAAATCAAGACTCAGCTTTTTGTTTTCCTGTGATCAACTAGTTCAGTGTATATGTTTTGATGACTCTAGCACTTGACACATGACTCTAAAAAAATCCTTTGTACCATAGTGACAAAGTGACAAAATAGTGAAGAAGGATCAGCTAGAGATTTTTCTCTTACTTAAAAGAGAAAATGACAACTTGGACAAAGTGGTTTTCTTAAACAGCAATAATTGCTTCAGAGAAGTAAATTTGTACTTCTTCAGAACTTGAGAAAAATCTTTACCAGTTTGGGCAATTAGGGGGTTGTTAGCAATCTCTGAGATTAGAATTTCAGAGAAATAGAGATGAAAGAAGACAGATTAAAAGGTATGGTAAGTGTGTCTTCTGAGACCAGGAGAGATTGAGTATAGCAGCTCTATCAGCAAGTTGGTGTTTATGGAAAAGCGAGAAGAGAGACCCTATCTGTGAATGTTCAAGGTGAAAATATTCACACATTCTTAAAATATAGAAATAGACTTGGAAGAGTCTGATTGTTGCATAACTGTAAAAGTGTCACTGAAATTGGCTTTAATTCAGGTTGCTGGCTTCTGCGGGTAGGAAAACAATTGGAGAATGTGGCAAGTGTGGGTGGTTGGATGGATAATGATGTGATTTTTGTCTCTTTAGAGTCTTGCTATTAAGTAGAAAAAGAGGATAAATATTGGAAAGGCAAAAGAATGTGTTTTCCTAGAAAAGGCATACCTCTTAAACCTCTCAATTAGAGAATAGAGTGTGAATGTGGTAGAAAAAGAAAGGTAAGCACAGAATGATCTGAAGAGCCCCAGACAGAAGCTGAGTTATAGATCAGAAGTACCTTAACTAGAAGGATATGTTCACAATGAGCTATTTATTCAATCTCGGAACTGGGCATTTATGGAAAAAAGGGATCCCAGATTTCACCTCCTTGGATCTACATTTCCCGAATTTTATCGTTTCAATACTGCTTTTTCTCATTTTTTATTGAGCTGTAACTGATATACCATAAAACTCACTTTACTGTGTACAATAGAGCAATTTTTAGAATATGTGCAAAGTTATAGAACCATCACCACTATCTAATTCCAGAACCTTTTTCTAACCCCTAAAAGAGACTCCAAACTTACTAACAGTCATCATCCATTTCCCCTTCCCTTCAGCCCCACTATCTATACAGTGTTTTGACACTCTTCCAGACATTTCATGTAAATGGAGTCATACAATATGTGATCTTTTGTATCTTTTTTTCCTTACCATATTGTTTTCAAGGCTCATCCATGCTGTAACATTTATTTGCACTTTATTTCTATTTATGGTTGAATGCTATTCCACTAATTTTATTTACCAGTTTTCAGTTGATGGACATTTAGGTTTTTATTTTGGAATTATTGTGAATGATTATTATACAATTAGCATTAGAACATAAGTTTTATCTTGAGGGGAAGATGTGCTTTTGTTTCTCTTTGGTATATACAAAGTTTGGAAGTAGCAACTTCCAAATTATTTTTTAAAGCCAAGGTACCGTTTTACATTCTGTCTGTCAATCTATGAAAGTTACAATTTCTCCACATTCTTTCTGACACTTATTTTCCATCTTTGTGATGATAGCTATCTTAGTGGGTGTGAAGAAGTATCTCATTTTGGCTTTTATTTGCATTTCCTTACTGAATAATGATGTTGAGCATCTTTTCCTGTTCTTATTAGCTGTTATATCTATTTTTTAAAAGACAGTTCTATTCAAATTCTTTGCCCACTTTTAATTCCACAAGGAAGGGAAAGTCTATTTTGTCTGATATGATTGTTGTTGTTTAGTCTGTAAGTTGTGTCCAACTCTGTGAACCATGGATTGTAGCCTGCCGGGCTCCTCTGTCCATGGGATTTCCCAGGCAAGAATACTGGAGTGGGCTGCCACTTCCTACTCCAGGGGATCTTCCCGACCCATGGATTGAACCTGCATCTTGTGCATTGGCAGGCGGATTCTTTACCACTGAACCACCTGGGAAACCCGATATGACTGTTGCTACCCCCAATTCCTCATCATTTCTGTTTGTATTATATATTTTTTCCATCCCCTCACTTTCATTTGTGTGTGTATTTAGCTCTGAGGTGAGTCTCTTGTAAGCAACGTATAAATGGGTCTTATTTTTTGTATCCAATCAGCTGCCATAAATGCCCTTTTGATTAGAGCATCTAGTCCATTGACATTTAAAGTGATTATTGATAGGTATGTATTTACTGCTATTTTTTTTCTTGTTCTCTGATTGTTTTTGTATTAATAGTTCTTTGTTTTTAATATCTTTTAGTCTCTTCCTTTGTGTTTTGATGTTTTTATTTAGTGGTATACATTTGTTCCTTTCTCTCTAGTTTTTTGTATCTATTGTAGGTTCTTGATTTGTGACTGCCATAGGGTTTGTATATGTTGACCTATATCTACTTGTTTTACACTGGTAGTCATTTAATTTAAACATATTTTAAAAGATCTACCTTTTTACTCCCCTTCCCCACATTTTGTGTTTTTCGTGCCATATTTTACATCTTTATGTTAACCCCTTCACTCTTTATTATAAACATTATTTTTTTATAATAATGATGATCCCTAGCCCTTACTATATATTTGCCTTTCATAGTGGAGTGTTTCTTTTTCCATAGGTACTTCTTGTTCTGGCCTTTTCAGCTGGGAAAGATCCTTTAAATTCCTTTGGGGTTGGTTTAGTATTGATGAACTCTTCATTTTTGCTTCTCTGAGAAGTTCTTTCTCTTTCCTCCAATTCTGAATGATAACCTTGCTAATAGAGTATCTTAGATTACAGGTTTTTTCCTCTCAGTACTTTGAATATATCATGCTGTTCCCTTTTAGTCTTCAAAGTTTCTTCAGGGAAATCAGCAGATAGCCTTATGGGAGTTCCCTTGTAAATGACTCTGTTTTTTATTTCTGTCTTTAGAATCCCCTGTGTAACTTTTGCTACTTTAATTGTGATATGTCTTGGTGTGGGTCTGCTTAGGTGCATCTTGTTTCCTTCCTGAGATTTGGGAAGTCTTCAGCTGTAATTTCATCAAATATATTTTCAACCCCCTTCTGTCTCTTTTTCTGAGACCCCTATAATGCAGATGTTGTTTTCTCAGAAATTTCCTAAACTGTTCTCATTTTTTTCATGTTTTTTCTTTTCTTTTTGGATCACTTCCATTATTCTATCTTCCAGATCACTTATGTGTTCTGTATGACTTAGTCTGCTATTTATTTCTTGTAGAGTGTTTTTCACTTCAATTATTGTATTCTTCGGTTCATTTTCTTTTAATATGTTCTAGTTTCTTGTTAAAATTCTTACTGTGTTCATCAATTCTTTTTCCTTATTCAGTTACCATTCTTATTACTAATACTTTGAATTCTTTACCTGGTAAGTTGCTTTTTCTGTTTCATCATTTAAATTTTCAGAGATTTTCTCTTGCTCTTTCAATTGAGAATAGTTCATCTGTCTTTCCATTTTATTTTAGCTTTTCTGTCTCTATGGATTTATTGATAGGTGGAGCAGCTACCTATAACAGTCTTAAAGGCGTGTCTTCATGTGGAAGTGTCTTAAGCAGTCTGTGTGGGCCGAGGGCCCTTGGTGGGAAAGCTGGATTTGATGTGGACAGAAGTTGTTCTTTCCTCAGGGTGTGCCGGCAGCTGTCACCATTGTAAGAGATAGGGCTGGAGACGGAAGGTCTCTGGCTGGAACCGCGTGTAAGGCGGGGTGTCCCCTCCGCTTAGTGGCCGTCACTGCCCTCTGAGGGGAGCATCACATCCCAAATAGATGGGGCAGAAGTCCTGGGGCTCCGGTCTGAGCTGGCTCTGTTTTCCTTAAGCATGTTCTCTTTCCGCACAGGCACCCTCACCCCCGAGGAGAGCAGTGATGGAGCAGGAGAGGCCCGTGTAGACTCGCAGCTCGCGTCAGTTTGTGAGCAGCAGTGTGTTGGCTCTAGACCGAGGTCTGAGCTGCCCCCAGCGCCGCCTGCTGTACCTGAGTCGGCCTTGTCTCACAGCCGGCCGCTCCCCACAGCGCTGCCCACCGCGCTCAGTTACGGAACCCCAAAGCAGAGCAGGTGCAGCACACAGGCCACACGGGCTCCTGATACGTGTCAGTGCACAAGCTGTGGCGGCCTGGCTGCCGCCGCAGACCGCGAGCTCCTCTGCCGCGCCGCCTGCGTCAGCATCAGCCAGTGGTAGTGCCCGCTGCGCGACCGTCCCGTCAGATGCCGCTCAGGGTCCGAGTTGCCTCTTTGTCCCCCTGCTGAGCTCTCTCCCTGGTCTGGGCCGTCCTGCTCCAGTGCAGGGCTGTGGGGTGAAGGAAGCAGGACTGGGGTATTCATTGCTCAGACGGGGACATGCCCTGGAGTGATCATAGAAAACTGCAGCCTCTGGATCAGTCCTCAGTCGGTCCTCTGTCCCATAGGGGAGCAAACCAGCTTTCCCATGCCTCTAACAAGTGGAGCCCAAGGTTCCTACACCCCTTCTGTGAGTTCTGCTGGCTCTCCAACCACCCAAGTAGGCTTGTCTTCCCTGTGTCAGATTCTAGTAGGAGGGCACCGGATGTGTGGTTTGGAAAGCTCACTCCCCGGGGCAGATCTCTGGGTCCTCTCCCAGGGACACAGGTCCTGATCTTACTGCTTCTCTTTCCTTCTTACCTGATTCCATGTGGCTCTTTCTTACAGCCTTGTTTGTACAGGAGACTTTCTTGCAGTTTTGAGTTAGTTTTCAGTGAGAATTGTTCCACATATCGGTGTATTTTTATGTGTTTGTTGGAAGAGGCAAGTTCCACCTCTTCTACTCTACCATCTGGATCAATTCCCCCCATCTTTTTACTTATTGGTGATTTCTTTCAAAGCACAAATATTGATGAGGTCAAATTTATCTCTTTTTTTTCCGGGGATGGGAGGTGGGTGGGGTGTTGCTTGCCCTTTTGGTATCGTATCCGAAAAATAGTTGCCTCATCCAAAATCACAAAGATTCACAGCTATGTTTCTTTTTAAGAGTTTCTTAGTTTTAGTTTTTATATTTACATCTTTGATCTATTCAGTTAATTTTTGTACATGGTGTGAGGTAGCTGTCTACTTGCATACTTATGCATGTGGATTTCCAGTTGTTTCAGTACTATTTGTCTTCAAAAATTAATTGACCATAAATGTAAGACTTACTTCTGGACTTTCAATTCAAATCAGCTTATCAGTAAGTCTATTTTTGTGTCAGTGCCAAATTGTTTTGATTATAGCAGCCTTGTAAGTTTTGAAATACTATTACCTTTTAACATTAAATACCATAATACTTATGACTGCCATTTGTAATTTTATATTTTTCTATAATTAAATTTCTTTTTTAATTTATTTTTGGCTCTGCTGGGTCTTTGTTTCTGTGCTGGATTTCTCTAGTTGCGGCAGGTGGAGTTTACTCTTTAGTTACAGCGCACAGCTTCTCATTGCAGTGGTTTCTCTTGTTGCAGAGCATGGCGCTAGGGCGCGCCTGCTTTTTAGTAGTTGCCTGCAAGTGGGTTCAGTAGTTGAGGCTCAGGGCCTCTAGAGCACAGACACCTTGGTTGAAAGTTGATTTTTAGTCTTCCTGGCTGAAAACTTGATATGACTTTGCAGCCCTTAAGTTTTCTGAATGGAGACAGAAGAAAAGTTCCTAGATGGAGACTATAATTCTGAAGAGAAAATGGTGGCTGTGGTCAATAGAAATTCTAGAAAAAATAAAATGTTAGCATTTCAGGTCTGTAATTTATATATTATTTGTTGCTTATTAGATTATAAAAGTTTTAAACTGAACATTTATGGGTTTCCTTTTGGAAACGTGTAGCATGAAAAGAGAAACTTTGGATATATATTATTTATATATTGTATTCATATTTTGTTTAGCTGTACCCAGGCAGTTATGCATATGTGCAACTTTGATCAGCATGATATCACTTTCCTTTTTATTAATCTGAAAGAATGCATCTAGATAAATTGGAGTTAGAGGTTATTAATAAAAAGCCAGAGTCCTTGTTTGATGATAAAATGGTAATGTATCTGTGTGTGACAAAGAAAGAGACAACAAGAATACTAATTCTCTAAGAATTTATTCTCTAAGATGCTGCTGTTTTCTAAGATATGAATGTGAGCAATAAAATATGCAAACAACATATGCACTCACATGCCAGTAATGTGTTTTTTCAAGGTGTAGTGTGAAGTGCAAATCCAGCTGCTACAATCAGGTATGTGATTCATCGTATTTTACAAACATTGTTTTGCATATGGGGGAAAATTTTCATTTAATAATAGGATCTGTATATTCTTTCCTTCTCTCAATGTTGTTTTCTCTTCCAATCGTATGCCATTTATTTAGTGTATGAACATATATTTAGTGTACGAACACATATTTATATGAAAAATGTGTTCATTATTCTCATATAATTTATGATAGGATTTAGAGTTTTTTGGTCTGAATAGACACCCCCTCTCATCAGGCTGAAGGTAATAACATATCTTTTTCTCTTTACAGCAAAAATAGATTAAAAAAAATAAAAGTTGTATCGTGCATATAATAAACAAGACCATATACTACAATTAATTGGTTTTGTTTTAAATGCATTGTGTAGGAAATGGTGTAATTACACTGCTCCAATTGCATTCCTTTCTCTCAACATCGTTGCTCTTCTCCAGTGGATTGTGGTCAATAATATTTCATTTTAAAATCCTGTGCTAAAGGTGGACAGGTCTTGAATTGCATGTTGTTCTTTAAACCAGCTCATAACTGTGCTCTGTCACACCAGGTATACTGATGCAACATTTACTTGTTATCATTAATTTGGAAACTGCATGATTTGCTAAATTATACACTGGTCATTCAGAGTCATCATATCAGGTGTAGTCAAAGGCCGGATTGAATGGCATGTTTCTGCTCCCAGTTTGCAGTCTTTATTGAAATAGAGCATGCAGAGTTGTTTTTGATCTTCATAATGAAGGCCATCTCCAGGAGGCATTCCTGGAGCCCACTCTGACCAGAGTGCACCTGTTATAAGAAGCATTCCCTTCCTTCTAACCCATTTTGACTCTGCCACTTGTAGATTTATGCACATATTACTGACTTTCACCATCACTCAGAATAGGAATGTAGCTACCTTGTTACAGGGAGGTGGTAAAAAATGCATTCTGAGCCAATGTTGTAAAATATCTGATTAGATTTCATTTTAGTATTTTTATTATGTAATTTTGAAGATTCAACTGTTTGTTTTGGGTTTTTTTTTAGATAAACACCAATGGCATAGTCAGGTCTTTACTCTGTGCAACTCCATATTCCATAATGTAACATACATGTTAGTGGAAGACAGTCTCCAAAAGGTGAACTGACAACAGTCACTGCTTGCTGCCACATTTTTAATAGAGGTGTCTAAGGAGATAGACAGAATATTTTAAGCTGAGAGAGGTGAAGATGATTGAATCCTCTTTTTAAATGGAGAGGTTTGCCCATTCTTTGTTTATTTTATAAATCCTACTCTGCAGCCTATACACATTTACATTGATTTTTGTAGGTCAAAAGTGAAATTGATTCATAACACATCACATTAATGTAATTTATAATGTCTTTTTTTTTTTTGCACATTAAAGCTTTTCTAAATGATGAACTCACACTTTTTTCACAAGTTTGCCTAAATTTAATTTAATATGTGGGGTGAAGAGTAGAAAGAATGGCATCTCAGTGATTGTTCCTTAGAATATATCATAAATTTTTTTTTCCTTTTTTGTTTTGGAGTTCAAGCATCATGCTAGTGATATTAACAGTTAATAGTGTGTAAGTTCTGCCATCTTTTCAGGTTTTTATTTCACTTGAGATGTTTTAATCAAGCACTGTTTTATTTACTTATTTTTTTTAATCTTCTTCTTCCACTGAAACAGTAGACTCCATATGGGTAGGGACTTATAGTGATCATAAAGAATCTGGCAGATCACAAGATATTATATACCATTATCTTGTGGGGAGTGGGGGGGGGCAGGGATTGAAGTGGGGCAATAACCTGATCCGATTTGCATCTTAAAGACAGCCAAAGTTCAGAGCAGGATCATGATGGTCTGGTGGTGGGGGCACATCTGGGGTCAGGGAGAGGACTTAGAAAGTTGATCCAACAAGAAATAATGATAGCCCAATTTAAGATATTGATAGTAGATTCGAAAGTCATGGACTAATTTAAGCAATATTAAGGAGGTAGAATCTATGGGACTGGGTGGTTGAGAAATGTAATTAGTGGGGGAAAGGTAGAGTACAGGAACATCTTCGAGTTTCTTTTTGTGCAATTGGTGGAATCATGTGTGAAGAGAAGCAAATATTTTTTTCTAAAATAAAATGAATTCAACTAGGAGTTTGTTTCATGTGAAGCACCTGAAGGCTGTCAAGAAGAAATACCCAGTAGGTTATTAGAGATAGGAATCTAGAACTTAGGAGACAGATATGTGCTGAGGATAATAGGGTTTAAGTTTATCAAGATATAAGTGGCTGTTGAAGCCATAGTTTGGGAGATTTTCCAGGAGAAACATCACAAAGAGAATAGGGACTATGGGTTGAATCCTGAGAATTGGCAGTTATTCCATAAATTGAGCCCAGGAAGACAAAATGAGTAGCATCCACAGAAGCAGACAAGGCAAGAACTAGGCATGTGATACGCCATAAGAAGAACATACCAGAGTGTTTGTGTCTAATAGTGTGTGTGGGTGTGCTAAGTCACTTCAGTTGTGTCCAACTCTTTGCGACCCTGTAGACCGTAGCCTGCCAGGCTCCTCTGTTCATGGGATTCTCCAAGCAAGAAGAGAGTGGATTGCCATGCCCTCCTCCTGGGGATTTTCCTGGCCTAGGGATTGAACTCACCTCTCTTTTATCTTTTGCATTGTCTGGCAGGTTCTTTACCCCTAGTGTCACCTGGGAAGACCCTGTGGGAAACAGCACACGATGATAAAGAGAAAGCAAGGAGGATAAATCTATTAGACAATCACTGAAGCAGCGTTTATTGGGGTCTTACTGTGTGAGTGTGGTCTGTAAATACATGCTTATCACCAGCTTTCAAAGTAGTTCATTAAAGAAAAATCACCGCAAAATTAATTCCTGATAATCTAATAACAGGTTGTGCCTTCTGACTTTTTCCACCCCTTAAAAGACCTTTCCCATGGAGCAAGGGGGAGGAAAAAAACAGGTAAATGAAGAGC